TCAAATTGTACATTTCACTTCTACCATTTTGTGTTACACGTGGGGAAATGCTATTTACGTTAATTCTCTGGTTTGTTAATATGACAATCAGCATCAATATGTCAAACAGCAACTAATCTCAGCACCGTGGCAATGTAATTATGATTATATTGTCATCAGGTGGGGAAACTGAGGCACAGTGTGCCTTACAGTGAAAAAATAAAAATTCTGTTATCACTGCCTTACTGCCTGCTGTGGAATTTGCCAAAAGATATGTATGATAAGAATAGATAAAAGTGAATACAGAGCGAAGAGAATCCTTGCCCAATTAACCTTACCCATTCACTTACGTTTTGGTTCTTGGGACAGTTGTGGGTTGTAGCTGTGTTGGTCTTAGGACATAGGCAGACAAGGTTCTTTGAGCATATGCAATATCTTTTATTAGACCAACTTAGTTAGAAAAAAGTTCTTAGCAGGCTTTTGGGCACAATCGCCGAGATTCCCTATGCCTGAAGAAGGGCGATTGCGCCCAAAAGTCTGCTAAGAACTTTTTTTTCAAACTACTCAGTTGGTCTAATAAAAGATATCACATCTACTCAAAGGACCTTGCTTGGCTCTTGGGAGGTACAGAAATTTAGCTGGGTTAAAAACTTAAGGCCGTGTATAGACGAAACAAGGGGCACGTGTGTATGGCACTTTAAAGCAGGTTAAATGCTTTTGCACCACTTTAATGGTGTCGGTGTTTGCACACCTCGGCGGAGTATTGCACATTAACTCCAGCTGCTGTAGTGGTGTAATGTGCCTTAAATGACTTGGGAGTCAAACTTGAAGAAGTTTTATTTTGCTGCCTCTACAGAAGCACTGGGCTCCATGCAGCTCCGCAGCTCTGTAGGAAGTCCTGCAGACAGCCTGGCAGCAGCCTGGGAAAGCAGGCTCTGCCCAAGAAAAGCAGCGAGCCTGCTCTCCCCCCACCCCCCAGAGCCTGCCTGCCTGCCTGAGCTGCGTGGGGGTTGAAGCAGTGTTTTTTAACGTCCTCCCCCACTTCAATTTAGGGCCCTTGTTTCATCTACACATGCCCTAAGACTTTTCAGCTCCAAAGGCACTACTTAAAATGTACCTGAAGTGGATATACAGCAGATCCTGTCACTGTTTTGTATCTAATGCTCTCAAAGAAGTCAAGGGAAGGCATAAGTGCCAATCAGTAACAAATCAGTACCAGTGAAAGGAGTATACTATACAATGCCTCTTATTTCTGCATGCCCTAACATCAATTTCTCCAGTGCTGGTTCTGAAACTGGAGCACTCCATAATTACCGCAAGGATTACCAGGAGGGACCACCGCATTTAGTCAGTGGTCCATAAAGAAAATTCTGGGAGAGGGCACCCCAACCCTACTTTGGCAACACATTGGGCATACCTGCATGAGCGTGCACATGAGGTTTGCGGCACCGCAAACCCACCTGTAATGCCGCAAACTGCATGCACCACACATATATGCATATACTGTGCTGCTAATTTGCAGCGCAGTGGGGTTTTTTTGACAGTGGGCAATCCCAGTGTAAAAAAAAGCGCCAAAAAAAAGTGGGATGCTGCACGTTGTGACAGTGTGTGCTGCTCAAAACCAGAGCCTGGCAGGCTGGAGCCATGCTTTGGCTGCGGGCTAGGACTGACATGCCCAGATCGCCACTCCTGCAGCCCTGGGGGCCCCCAGGACCCCAAGTAAGGCTACTGGCCCCAGCCCAGGTGCTGGTCCCAGCTTCCCCTACCCAACCCGGGGCAACTTTCCAGAGCACGCGTGCAGGGGTGTTCCCAAGGGACAACTAACAGCACAAACATGTGCTGCTACTAGTTTTCCCCAGAGAAATGCACATTCCCGCTCGTGGGGACACCCATTATGTTACTGCCAGTTTGCTCAGAACATCACATATGGGAGTAGACAAAAAAAACCAAACAGTCCCTTAAATGTCCACGAGGAATAATGGCACTTATTAGAGTGACTACTGATACTTCCTGAAAATAACAGGCAACAAGGTAATGGATATAAAAAATAGCACAGATAAATACTGTCATATGTGAGAGTGCGCATTTATTCCCACTCTACCTATTAGGTGTCTGAGTGTGATTTCATTATACTATTTTCAGATCTCTGACAAAATGTTAATGGACCTACTTAGGTAATGTGTCATCATTTTAGCCTTCAGACTAAAAAATGCACTGAGGTGGGAGACCCATTTGCTATTTGGTTAACTGGTTTTCAGAGGTTCAAGGAGGATGGAAAAGATTCTCATTTTGATGTTTAATAGGTGAAGTAGATTCTGGCTCCTCGCTTTTTTTTTTTTTCTTTTTTAAATCTGGTACAGAAGGATGCCAACTTTGGGGGGAGGAGGGGAGGAGAGGAAGGCACCCATGCTTCGGTTCACATGCAGTAGTAGAGCAAAGAGTCTGGACCCATAAAACACATGTATACTTCTATTCACAAGGAGCAGACACATGGTATGTAACAGACCTTCCTCAGATCAGATGTTAAGCCTGGAAATATTAGGGGTAATACTAAAGCAGCGTAAATGACAGTAAGGTAAGTTGTGCCTGCGTCTCAGCCCAGCTACCAGGCTAATCAAACAGGGTACCTACACATCTGCCAAATGCCTGCTCCGACACGTGTTAATTAGCACATATCTTGCCAAACAAGCTTTAGTTTAAGCACTCCTGCCACCATTCTGAAGTGTGGGATGCTGAATACATGTGATGCTGCAGCACTTTCATTAGAGCGGTTCACGGAGCATGTGTATAGACGCCCACAGGCACTATTTGTTCCTGGCAAGGCACTTTTACAACACCTATGGTAGAAGCTACCCAGGGAGCACAACTACTCTGCCTTCTTCAAATGTTTTTTGACTTACATGGGTGCACCAGTGAAGTGTCCCTAGGGCAGTGCTTTCCGAACATTTCCTTAGCATAGCCCCATTTATAGCCCCATTTCCTCAGCGTGATCCCATTGGTTCAGTGTGGCCCCTCACTCCCAACCCCCTCACCGCTGCAACTCCATCCACTGATGCTGCAACCCAGTTTGGGAATCGCTGCCCTAAGGATCCTAGTCATGACAGGTCGTTTTGAGGTGGTCTACGTGACAGGTCTCTACCCAGGGAGGTGGTGGAATCTCCATCCTTGGAGGCTTGTTTTAAGACCCAGCTTTGGCTGGGATGATCTAGTTGGGGATGGCCCTGCTTTGAGCATGGGGTTGGCCTAGATGACCTCCTGAGGTCCCTTCCAACCTTAATTTTCTATGATTCTATGACACGCTCCTGCTCGCTGTAAACTGATTACAATGAATGGATCAGAAGAGCAAGCCAAGGTGCAGCGCCCCCTTCTCCAATGTGCCTGAGCAACAGAGGTTTTATGTCGCCACCGAGGTTCACACAGAGGAGCTTGAATTAGAATTAGGACCACATTGTGAACTTGCTGTGATGCCATTTGTCCATTCACGCATTCTGATGGGACTAAAGTAGCCTCCACCTCTGTTCTAGGCTGAGCCAGAAGCTCCTACCACATGAGCCAGCCACTATTTCACTCCAGGGCATTCAGTGGTCTTTGAAGCTTTCCTGCCTGAGCCAGCATCACCAGGTCTTGATTATGAAATTATTTTATTGGAAGCTCAAAATCAGCATATTTGCTGAAAAAATATTATACACTGAAAAATATGCAAATAAGTATACAAATAAGTCTTTTTCTTATTTACTTTATATTGCTCTCTCTAACATGCCAGTGAGTGAGTGACCACCGGGTCATCAAAGTTGGAGCATTTCTTTGTTTTGAGGCAAGCCATCATAAGAAAGTGCTGGCAGCAAACCTAAAAGCCAGTGGGCTAAG